AAAATGGCTCCACAGCATGTAAAAATATAATATAAGCTCTGGCGGACTTGGTTCTATGGTAGGTCTTAAAGGGTTAAACACAAAACCACAACATCTCTTCCCAACCACTTTGGCAAGCAATGGGAGCAGCCATGCTCCAGTTTGCATATCTGTTTTTTAAATGTATGTAGAATTGTATAAAAAGTACCTTTTTATATATAAAATTTGAGAAATTACAATTATATATAACACATTCAAGGTGTTGTAGAGTGCCGTTTTCCTTACACTAATACGTTTGAAGAAATCAATTTTAAAAATTGCATGCAGCAACAAGAACGCGCAAACTTGATGCAGGTGTTTTATTGACCCTACAACATCTGATCAAGTCTTCTCGGCACTTTCTACATTGGAATATATGTCATCACATTTGTCAGCATGATGTTTTTTATCTGTGCCACTGAGAAAACAGGAACCAGGAACCAATGTCATTTTCCTGGAAATTGTAGCAGTGGTGAGATTGCAAAATAATGTTTAACTTTGTGCCTTTCTGTATATACGTTTGTGCAATATTAATATTAAGAACTTTGAACAATATTAAGTGTTAATATTAAATATTAATATTATATATAATATATATAAAATATTATATATATTAGAATATTAATATTAAATACTAATATTAATATTAGAACAATATTAAGAACTTTGATTTCACTATTGGAAATGTTTTATCTTGATGTACATGTTGTCTTTTTGCAATCTGGTTATATTATTAATTTATTTTGATTTTTGCTACAGTTTATTAAAATGAATAAAGATATGATCATACTTAGACTAAATTGCCAGTGGTTTTAAAGAATTTTGTGCAACTTGTTTTTTTCATTTAAATTGTGAGATACAGCTATGACACTTCTTTATGTAAAAAAAAAAAACTATGACCTTATTACATGTTAAAGAAATTCTGGAGATATAAAGCTTCTACTGATGAATAGAAGTTGAAATGCTCCAAAAATAACACTACAGCAGGAGTGAAGTGAAGTGAAATTTATTTCGGTCAACAACAACACAGATTATCATTTTACATAAAAGTACTCAATCATACAAGGGATCTGGAAGCATAAAGTATGGCTGTTTCCCAATTCAGGGTCTGCAGCCTTAAAGTATGCAGCCTTAACGGTCCTCAAGG